GACCCACCCGACGGTGGATCTTCTCCACTGCTTGCTGTCAGGCTGCCTTAGGAAAGAGGGTACCAACCGCTGGGCTGCTGCGAGGAAATGTGGCAAGTTAAAGTGCTCCGAGAAAAAAAAAACCGTAAGCGTTAATTAACAGTGTCGCGGTGTGACTCGTTGGGGTGCTGAACCAGCCGTCGCGCGGCACCTACAGCACCACACAATGCTGGAGGCACCTTGTTACTTGTGGTCCCGTGGAACGAAGTACCTGCACACGGTACCGACACGGTGAGGAGGCCGGAGCCAGCCCCGGCGTCCCGCGTGCGGGGGACAGCCGAGGCTCAGCGCCAGCCTCCTCACACCGCTGTCCTCCAGCCGCCTCCTCTTCCTCTTCACTTCCTCCTCCGGCTGTGGTTCTTCAGCTCCTCCAGCTCCTTCTCCATCAGGTGGGACTCGGCTGTGGTCTCGGAGAGCTGCAAGGCACAGTGAACACCACCACGAGTGAGCCGCTCCTCCAGCCTCCGCCCTGTGCTACGGCTGCGGGGCCAACACCAGATCTGCAACCTCGCGGTCTGTGGAGCACCTCGGACACGCGCATTGGGACGCAAAAGCCCCCGAGAGGGATCGGAGATCGCTCTCTCTCCAGAGAAGCACCGCGTGTCGCAGCAGCACACGCAGCGAGACATTTGTGCCTCAGCAGCTTTTCCGATTTCACAGCACAACCTTTCCGGAGATGTCGCCAAGAGTTACAGCCACGGGCCAGCACCCGCGCGAGGGAATTTGTTCTCCTTTGAGCAAGAGGGAAGCTGAGACTTCACACTTCATCAAGATCGCCTGGAAAACCCGGAGAGCAGCTGGGGCTTCCGCTAAGTGCTGCAGCCACAAAAGCCGCCTGCCAGTTTTAAAACACGGGTGGAACATAGGGAAGGAAAGCGATGAAGGAGTGTTTGTTCAGACTGACATAAAGGCTAAATTGCTTAATAGACTGCGAATACACATGTATTCTATTTCACTGAAAATGTCTCCAGATTTTAAGCATGAAAGCTGTGATCTCTGGCTAAGGTTGAGTTTCGGTTCATTTAGGGCTTGGGAATTCTTTCATCCATAGGTTTACATATAGACTAGATGTCACACCACTTGTCACAACAGATGGAAGCTTTACTCTTCTGTGACCAGAAAGGGTGGCTATAACTCAGTTTCACAGTTAGGTAAGAGGCCAGAGGGGCACAAAAATGGCGGACTCCATGCAGAAAGGGCAAGAGGAGACACGGCACTTGCAGGGGCTCCTCTCTAATCAGTCCCAGTGTTCATGGAAGTCAAGCTCTGCTGCGGGGGGAACCTTCCCCTCTTCTCGCAGAGGAGATCAGACTTCACTCCCATGGTCACTTTGCCATTAAAGTTGTCCTGCATAGCAGGGTACAGCAGAAAGAGCAGGGTGCAGAATGGCCTCCTTTGGCGGTCCCAGCACCCTTTGCTTGGGCATTTCCACTGCTACGGGCAGGTGACAGTTCAGCAAAGACTCACCATATCCAGCAGAATATCCACTTTCAGCCGAAGGAGGTTGTTTTCTTCCTCTAGCTGCTGGTTTCGTTTGCGCAAGCGCTGCATTTCCCTGCGATCCCCTGTGAAGCTTCCCGATTCTGGAAGGAAAAAAAAAAAAAAAAGAGGTCAAAATACAGATTGTCAGCCAACCGTGGCTACTTCGGATCAAAGCAAGCTGAGCTGCACTCTACCTGCCACCCACTGGCCATTTTCAAACTTGAGGCTTTGGCCAGCGAGGTTCATGGTGGGGATGCCGTACTCCAGGCCCAGCTCAATCTCACGGGTCGATCTATCCAGCTGCAGGGAGAAAATCACACTCAGTGTTTTACAGAAATCCAAAGCCACCCTGTGCTCTCCCATTTCTTAGCAACTGGCATTCCAATGGAAGCTGCTGGTCCGACTGGCCCTGGAGCCTGAAACCCTACTTTCAGTCACATACTGCTGCAGTAGAGGACCGGCTCCTCTCACTACTGTGCCTGTGCCTGCACTTTCTCCTGCCCAAACATACGCTCATCTCCCTGGGCTCAGAGACCATTGGTCTAGGTTAAGCAGTTCTGGGCTGCGGGTGGGGTGATGATGACCCTACCCTGAGATATTCCTGTTTTACCTTTGTATCTGATCATCGGCGATCAGAAACAGTGCCACACCGCAGGAGGAAAGAGGCACAGCTGGGAGCACTTGTAAGAGTCACGGTGCTGACAGCAGGAGCCACCCAGCCCTCGCCACCGAGCAAGCATTCCCACGGGAAAGCCAGGGGCGTGGGGACTCACCAAGTGCAGGTTGGAGAGAGAGGCGCATTTCCTGGGGGGGGTCTTCTTCGGGCTGAAG